AGCAGCTGCACACCCACCAGATGCGCTAGGCTGATGGGTACTCGAGAGAGGGACGCTGCTTTCAGTGAAGTGACGAACATAAATATATATGAATCCTAAAATGAAAAAAGCGCACACCAAGATTATCACCAGGATCGCCATGGACGGGTCGAAGTTGTTGTACAAATTGTTTAGTTCCGGCTGTGCATTGGTTCTGTTCTGTGCCGCCACGATGGCGAGGAATACGTGGAGCCATGAAATTTGGTGGATGATTCTGTGGCAAACACTGAGCGTCCTCATGCAGATGCCTTTTCCTCCTAATTTCAGGTTCGAATTTTTATTTTTATTTTTTTGGGTTTCTGTTGAGATTTTTCTGTGAGGAAGAGAAAAAGCACAGACTGGATAGAGAAATGAGAAACAGAGGAGAAATATAAGAAGAGAAGAACCGGTTATTGCCGTGGCCAGAAAGAAAAACCGTCAGTTGTTACGTCAGCCCGCAAAAGGGACAGGTATGGACACCTGGTGTTTTAGAATCGCTGTTTCATTTTTTTTTCTTAGTAAATTAATCATTGTTTAGTAATCACTAATCAGACTTGTTTTTTTTTTTTGACACAGTAATTATTTATTATAATTATAACATATTTTTAATAAAAATAAAAAATAAAAAGCAAAAAATCAAACCCAATACGTCTCAACTATACTTTCACTTACGATACAGACAGTTATCGCTTTACCCTCCACGTGTACAACTAATCAAACTTGTGGTTGAAGGGTAAGTTCTCGAAGAATATATTAAGGCCTCAAATTTACCCTATCTTAATATATAAACCCTCAAATTAAAAAACATTAATGGTCTGTTTAAAAATATGATTTTGATATAATATAGTTAAATTTTAACTTTTCAAATTTAATATTATTTTTTCATAAATAAAATGTAATTAAATTTAAATAAAATACATATATTCCACTTTGAATAATTCAAATACATAAATGTTCGTGTAAATCAATTTCAGTTTCATCCTCAAATCCTTGAATTTCAATTTCAAAATGAATTTCATGTGCACTCTCCACATGTTGATGGCGATGAAGCCTCCTGCGTTCGTTCATCGTTAACTCTGCTGCTGCTCTCTCACCTTTTTGTCGTTAAAAATACATATATTTAAAATTCATTTTTTTTATTCAATCCAAACAAAATGTTTTAAAATACACATTCTAAATACAAATATGTGTTCCCAAACACAACTTAAATTAAGTCCTCAAACCTTGCAATTGATACAAGTCAACGCTCTTGTTAACAGGATGCTAGTTATTGTCATGAAGATTAGTTGACTTAAATCAACAACCTCTTGATTCAAATAAAATGAGTTTAGTTGGTTTTTTTTTTTTTTTTTCTTTTCTGGTTTTTGGAAAAAGACAAGTTTTTCCATTGAACATTGAACAACATATACATTATGCTCCTAGGCATATTTGGGGAAACACTTCTCAAAACTTTAATTTCAAAAAATCAACTATCTCATTATATACATCTCCTTCATTAGAAAATTTACCAAGAAAAATTCTCCTATTCCTTTCCTACCAAACCATGTATATAGTGGCATCCAAGGTCGTCTTCAATTTCTTTGGTTGAACCGAATGCCCCTTACATGCCTTCCTTAGCCAAAGCCACTCAACACTCCATCTTTTCGGCTGTCATGGGACATTCAAAAATTCTAAAATCAGCCTCCATATTTAGCAAAACTACAATAAAAAAACAAGTGCTTGTAAGTTTCCTCATATCTACAGCACAAGCAACACCCTTTCTCTATTTTTAGTCCTTTATCAACTAGCAAAACTCTAGTTTTTAGTTTACCCCGCAACACTAGCCAAAAGATAAAGCTATGCCTAAGGAAAGCACACCCTACCCAGACAATATTGTGCCATTCAACCTTAGGATGTTTCACTCTTAAAAACTGATAACAACTAAAAATAGTAAATAGGTAAAAATAGTAAATAGGCCATTCCTTGCAGGTTTCCATACAGCCTTATTAGCTTGTTGGGACAATTTTTTACTCTTGATAATCCAAACTAACTTGGGATGCCTTCTCACAAACTATCTAGAATAGTCCAATCCGACCCATCCCACCACTGGCTAACCATGAGAGAATGGCCCCAAACAACAATTTCAGCCTTTGAGATCAACTCACAAAACCTTACCTCACCTACCCACTAGTCATAGAATAAAGAAACTTGTCTTCCGTTGCCCACTTGCATCCAAATGGTATTTTTCAACAAAGGATGAAGCTTTAAGACTTGTCTCCATGTTCAAGCACAATCCACAGGAATTTGGGACTTCCAAAAATTTTCACCCCTCAAAAGAACCACCTTCGCCCACCTAACCCATAGAGCCTCTTTATTTTGGCATATGTTCCAAATCAATCTTCCCAGTTCAGCCTTATTCTAGTGTTGCAACTGCTTAACCCCTAGTTCCCCCTCATTCTTTGGCACACATATATCATCTCACACTACAAGAGACGTAGCATTATAATTCCATTTACCACACCAAATAAAATTCCTACAAATAGCGTCAATTGACTTTAACACATTCTTAATAAGCAATAAAGCACCACTCCAAAAAACTTGAAAGTGAAATAGTATAGAGTTGATTAATTGAACTATACTAGTATATGAAAGGAATGTTGTTGCTCATGAGCTAATTTTTTGATGGATCCTATCAATAATAGGTTGGCATGCCCTAAGAGAAAGTTTTGTAGAAACCAAAGGCAACCCCAAATACCTAACTGGAAGCTGCCCCTTAGCAAAACCTAGCTTCTGAGATAAGAAGATTTTTTGTCCTTCATTAGTTCCACTAAAGAAAATTTGACTTTTCATTTTATTCACTTCCAAGCTAGAAACTCTAGAAAACTCCTCAAACATTTGCATCATCAGTAGGGTAGACTCATTATTAGCCTTACAAATAGCATAATATCATCTGCAAAGATTAAGTGGATAAGTCGCATAGCTTGGCACTTACTGTGATATTTAAACTTCTTTTGCATATCTAGCTCCTTCAATTTTCTAGTGAGATACTCCATCAGCAACACAAATAAAAAAGGAGAGATAGGATCACCCTACCGAAGTCCTTTTTGCCCTAGAAAATAACCTTTTGGCTGACCATTTATCAGAATAGAAAATCTAGCAGTAGATACATAAAGCATAATCCAATGAACAAATCTAACAAGGAAATTTAGCCCTCTTAAAATTGCCTCAACAAACCCCCAATCAACTGAATCACACATTTTTCGCAAATCAATCTTCATTAAACACCTAGCAGGCCTTCCTCCCTTATGATAATTCCTCACTAGATCTTGGCAAATCAATAAATTTGTTGTTATAGACCTACCCTTACAAATACAACTTGATTAAAGCTAACCAACATGCTTACCACTTCATTAATCCTCTGAGTTAAGAGTTTTGATATCACCTTGTAAATTACATTGTAGCAAGCCATGTGCCTATAATCACTGACAAAATTTGGGCAACTCACCTTTGGAACAATAGTAATATTCGTAGCATTAATTTGCTTGAGGAGCTTCCCACTATTAAAGAAATCCAAAACAACAGCAATGACATCATTTTTAATTATTGACCATGCTGCTT